CATGATTGGCAGGCAGCCTGACATGCATTCATGCCAGACTAGCCTTCCAATTCTTTGGGCAGACACGCCTCCTTTTTGGGCATGTTTGGCCCTTTCGGAAGTTCTGGTTACATGATCCACGTCAGTGGCCCACCCTTTTACGTCGCCCATTGAGTTCCTGCTTCACTGGACACTGCTGTTAGGGGGTATGGATTTACTTGAAAGATGAAAGCATGAATTAGAGAGAGATTAGCATGTTTTAAGAGAATCTGAGTTTTTTAATAGCTGCATCCTATGAGTTTCCCTCCGGCAACATCTCAACCAGGTACATAAAACTTGAGAGGTATGACTGTTTAGTGTTTTTGCTCGATAAGATTCTGTACTTGGGCCCCTCATAATTGTCAGCACCAGGCCCACTGGGCTCTTAATCTGGCCCTGAGTGCAGCACTAAAATAGGAAGCATCTGTATTGGCCATCTGAGTGACTTCCACTAGAGGTGTTACCAGGCAGCACTATAAACAGTGCCTTTTCTATGAAAAGGCATTATTTACATTGCTGAGCCTGGATGGCCATGCTATAGACACCAGAAGCACTATATTAATCTGTAGTGGTGCTGGTGACTATAGTGTCCCTTTAAGCACTTTTCTATCCAAAATAACACTGAAAACAGTGGCAGCCAACTTAAGAAATAAGTCAAAGTCTAAGTAAAGAAAGAATTATCTCCTAACCCTACTTTCATTTGGTTTTTAACACTACCTACACTAAAGGGCCAGCCTAGGAAGAAGAAAAACTGCTGCCACTGTAGAGGTTGTGTTGCCAAGAGTATTTTCGGTGCTGTCCCACCAGTATATAGTCAAACTATTGTAATTTGTGTTGACATGTTTCTGGTTCCACTGGTGCCTACAGCCAAACCTAGTTCGACTTATGCAGAAGCCAATATGTCAACTTTAGGGTTGTTAATTTTGCTCAGGTTTGGCTGAATTAAGTTTGTTTAAAACCCTCACAATATTGTCTGTAATTGACACACACTCATCCTACATGACTGGTGCCAAACTTTGGCTCATTGCATATCTTAAAACGAATCAGACCGGCATACAGGATCTCTTTCTTGTTGAGGTCTGCAGTAAATGCATTTGTAGCATTAGGGAATCACAGATATCACTTGTAGGATCTTTGTGGACAGACATAGTCTGAAAGCATCAAAGAGCATGAGGTTCAGTTTCAAATTATACTGAAAACATTTGGCCTCGCCTGCGCCCAGCTCTAACTTATTTCAATACACAAAATGTATAAATATATTACAAATTATAAAACATGAGAAACTTTAAAGTGCCTACTCTAGCAAAATCATTTTGTGCAATCTGTAATCAGTAAAGATACAGTGATCTGTTTCCTGAAACCTAAATTATGTTCGAAACTGACTGACCAACTACTACTAGCTAGCCTATTTGTAGCAGATACAGAACAAGTGGTTATAATTATAGAAGCTTCAAAGTTTTGCACAATCTGAAAACTCATATCCTGTGATGTCGGACATGAAATTAAGTCCATGCAACTGCACATCTAATTAAAATATTTACCTGAATAACAGCTTTCTCAACAGGTTAATAATAACCTAACTTAACCAAACACGTTATACTTTCAGAGCAAATAGAAATTACTGTGTGACTGGTTTAAACTGAATTGAGTTATAATTTCTACTAACAATATTTGGTACAAATTAGTTAATTGTCTCCAACAATCCACTGCTCAGGTAAAAGGAAGTTATTGCTAAAATGAGGCATTTGGAATGCTGACGATTTTCTTTATCTTAAAGTAAATTATTATTAACTAATTCAATGAGGAGGGGAAAATGTTCTATTAAAATGTAGTCGAAAATACTAGAATTAATAATATGATTATTAATGTTCTTTGCCAGCAATTCTGTGTTTTCTTTTAATTCAGAGATAGATTCACATTAATATATTTGTATGCATGAGATCACTACCACCACTGGTTTTGAATCTTTGTACTTAAAGGGACAGTCCACCGCCCCACCCTTAATAAAAAAAATAACATAATTTTGTAGATATACACCTAACGAAAACATTCATGCTTTTAATTATGGTTTGTTTTTTGGGGGGCGGTGTATCTAAAAACAGATTTTAAAAGTTGCAGATCTCATGTCTGCTGCTTTTGTAAGCCCTCCCCTTTACTGACCCCGCCCAGAGTTTTTGTGACTGTCCAATCACAGACTTCCCAATGCAGCTCAATGAGAAGTGTTTGCAAGGGAGGTGCTATCGACAAATGCCTGACTCTTGAGCGTACCTCCACTGAGCTAATCAAACTAGGAAGTAACAGGACCTGTTGTCTAAATAACAGCCAGAGAGGTGTAACAAAGTAACTCTATAAAAGTGCCAATTTCTTTTGAAAGCTACACTTTTTGTAAAATGAACAAAGAGGACACACCCTTCATACATAAAGCTTTTCAGCAAGCTAAAGTGCTTTAGGTATTTGGAGTGTTCTTTTAACCCTAACAAATGCTAGACAAATTTTGATTTCCAAAAATAGCAAAAGTCAAATGCGGTGACTTAGCTGTTGGAATCTCTACCTGAATCAAATAGTAATATAGCTTGGCATTTTTGAGATTTGCAGATAGATGAAGCATTATTTAATTAAAAATTGTTGTTGTTTTTTTGTAATTTCAAAATGTTAAACGCATCTTATATAAAATTGAAGAGGAGATGTTAAAAAGTAGATATAGACCAAACCCACCTCCTTGCATTTTTATCCCAGCACTTACTGATAGGCAAATATACCATTACTGAGTACATTTAAAATACCACGATACCTTGCCAAAGCCTAATGTGACAAAAGAATGCACATGCTGAGCCATGTATATAAGCTTTAATTGCATACAAATCAAATGTCAGAGATTCAAAACTGTAAAAATAACATAAAAATAAAATGAAAATAAAATTGCACACAATTTAAGACAGGCCTAGCTTATTCTAACTCGCAAGATAACTACCCATGGTAATAGCCAATAATATATATAATATATAATAGGCAATAATATATCATATATATTATTTATACATATACTATAGGAGGGACTATTGTTTCATGAAAAATTGGTTTGGACAGCTAGGCAGCTAAAGTTAATTTCTCCATACCGCACTAAATGAGAATGCTATGCATCGTGAAATTTCTTCGAGTGAATAGAATGAGTAAAAGAAATTATATACTTTTACATGACATAATCACTCCCTAAACTGAAAAGCAATGAGCAATTAGTTAGTGCAACATGTGCAGCTCATCAGAATTGAGAAAGACAATGCTTTTTTCAATGTTTCACTCCACTTTAGAAAACGTATAATGACAACTAGAAAACGGTACTGTATGTGCTTGGAAAATAGCCTCAAACCAGATTCTACAATGAGCTTATTCTGGAGAAATGCAAATTGCAGAGAAATCACCAGCTATTATCATTGTGAGAGGATCTCCTTACAGAGCCAACTTCAGAATACTTTTCAAGTGTTTTTGTCATCCATTCAGCAGATTGTTAAAATCCGTGGATCAGGCATACTCTTCAGCATCCAAGAAACTTTTGGTTATCAAGTTAATTAGGTATAAAAAGTCAACTTCACATTCAAAAGCTGGTTTGTAGCATATTGCATTTTACATTCTTTTTATATTCTTTTACATTGCCTGTAAAACATGTATCCTCAACTTGTGTACCTAATATCTATGGAAAAATAATACAAGTCGTCAAAAATACAAATGAAAACCATCAACTAATGCATATAATTTTATAACGCCCTCCATAACTACTTGATTGTGCATGCACAATGAAACAGGTCATTAACCAGTGTAATATACTCATAGAAAATGCTGTATGATTCATATAGAGAACCATATTTTTACATTAACTTTTTAAATACATGCCTTGTGAATTATGGTTGCAAGAGTCAGGTATTTATTTTTCATGAGTAACATGTTCAAAGACAGTCTAAGGGTCACTGGTAGAGCTAAATTTTCTGTGTATATTGATTTCTTGGACTTTACATTGGACATTACTGGTGGCAAGTGTGGAATATGACAAGGATGTGGTTAGCAAGTAAAAGGTTGACAGCAGGTATAGAGACAACTCTACGCAACAAGAGGACAGTGAAGTAAAGAGAAATACTGGTTAGTTAATATGAGCACAACACTTAAATATAATAAAATGTTTACTTAATGGGGGAAGACAATTGCAGAGAATTGGGGACCCAATGGAGACACTAGCAGACCAGTTATGGTGCCAGGAGGTCCCTGAGACTGGCTCCCATTTATAGGGTTAAACCATTCACAAGCAGTTTAAACCTAAAGTCTATGTTCCAGCACTGGATAGCTCTTCATCTCTGGTCTTCCTCTATTTGAAATCCTAGATAACGGATGGCTCTGGTAGCATCGGGCAGGGGTGCCACTGACTGGCTTAAAGCGGTCAGCTGATGCTCTGTGTCAATCAGTAATTCCCCACACATAAAAAAGCAGCGGATCACTCTAAGCCAATTAGTGCATCCCCTGCCCGATGCTGCCCAAGGTTTCTGTTACTTAAGATTACAGATAGTGAAAGGACTGGTGAACTGATAGGTGTCATCCCGCTGGACTGGCAGGTACCGTCAACTCTGCCCAACCCTTTTCCAAGGCAGGTATTGTACCATATATCTTCTCCTTCTTTAAGGCAGGTATCATCCTCTCAGCCTGCTTCCAACATAATCTTTACAAAGATGTACTATTTATGTCACTTAATTCTGCCAAATTGGACTTCTTTTGCAATCATTCAATACTTGGATCTTTTAAGAATAAGAATTGAGAAATCTACTCTAGATAGGAACTCAGTGAAAACTGGTGGAACAAAATAAAGTAGACAGATGACAGTCCACCAAGGTTAGCAGGACTGAAACTAACCAAGGAGGTGTGGTCAAGCCACCAAAGAAGTTGGCTTCCCAATATGGCGCACCTTGTAACCTAACATCTTTCCACAAAAAAAGCTTGATATGGGGAAGCCCACAAAGCCCTTGGGTAATGCCAAGCTGCCGAATTTGATGTCCATCATCTCCTCCCTCTGGCGGTATCTGTGGACACTGGTGGACTCAGAACCGCATCCTGTGCTACCTGAGACCTGCCACGTATCCAGCTCCTCCACACAGGACTCCCCAGCCTTGATACTGAAGATCGATCCACCACCTACAGAAAAGGACTGGATGAGTCTAATAAGGGCATCGATGAGAAAGGACCTAAGGAAGGTGACAACTTCTCCACAGACCTCCATACTAGCTGATTTGCAGCTCCTGCGCAATGACCTGCAAGGTGTGATGGATAGAGTTGACAGAGTGTAGGAAGGCCATGACAACCTCCTAGGAACACAAGCAGCAATGACAGACATGTTGGAGTGCCAAACTAGCAAATCCATAATGTGGCTCTACACCCTTAGGATCTGGATAAAAAAAAGGTTGCCACAATAATCTCCAGCTGTGGGGCCTACGTGAGCTTGAAAAGTCCCACCTCCATCTCTGTAACCAACTCACAGTATCTTTAATGACTTATTCCAGAGAAACAGAGGAACCTGATTGAAATTGCAAGAGCACATAGAGTGTTGCAACCACAAGAACCACTGGAAGAACCTCTGGGAGATGTGATATGCTGTCTGGTTTAATTCAGTCTGAAGAAAGACATCCTCCAAGCAGAAAGAAAAACCAGAGAGCTCATCTATGACCACCAACACCTCCAGCTGTTCCCAGATCTGTTCCTTGCAACCCTGCATATTGAAGGGCCCTTAAGCCACTCACACAAGTCCTAGTGACTCAACATATCTGCTACTGCTGGCAGATTTCAACAGGGCTACTTGTGTTATTCCTGAGGGGCCCTTCTCTATTAATTCTCATAAGGACTTTTTTGCCCTGAGCTTGCTGCTTCAACTTCCATCAATCAATATGACGTAACCAGACCTACTGAATTATTACTGTCCTGCCATTAATACCAGCCAATACCAAATTGGCAGTGGAGGGGCTGGCAACAGGTCCCCAGACCAACTGGGACTCAGGGTACCCAGGAAGCTGGGTGAAAATATGGGGTTTCAGCTTTAATTATTTTGGATGTTTCTGGGTCTTTTGAGGGCTCTTACATTGGCCACCTGCTAGTTTACAATGTTCGGTTGTGAATCATGTCATGTTTAAACCTGCCATGCCCCCACATGATAGTACCACGGGTCACTGAGAGAATGGCGACTTTCCCCTGTTTATTAGCTTGGATCTTATTTCTTTCCTTTATACTGTGGGGAGGGAGGCACCTGGCCTTGTGGCTAGGGAGCTGGACATACATGGACTGTAGGTGTCCAAATGCACATGGTTACCACATTCAACATTTGCTGGTTTGCGCAGGGGCTAGCACCTGATGGGCTATACCAAGGCTTGATTACCGGGAAGATATGTCATGGAACAGAGGGGAAAATACCACCCACTTATGGGGAGAACCTGGGTCATAGTGTGCCCTTGGGAGTCCCGAACACCAGAGTTATATAATAATTATTTATCACTAGATCCCCCAAGTCCTACATCCATTGACCTTTCAACTTTATAGTAAGCCAAATTTATCAGCAACTTGCTGGCTTGACTGTTCCCTTCTTTGGGTGTGAGGTGTGAAGACCCACTGGGGACCTCTCCCCATGCTGTATGGTGCGACAGTGAGGTTGGTTTACCTCAGACGCCTTTGCCTTTAAGGACTTGTGTACATGTCCAGTTCGGGCTCTTCCCTACTCTGGCAGACACCAGTTAAGATCTTAACAATCAATGCAAAGAGCCTGAATGTCCCAGAAAAGCACTACCATGTGTGACATGTCATGATTCTCTTTTATTCCAGAAGTTTGGTCCTTAAGGGGTTAAAGAAGAAAAATGCATATAAAAAAAACCCCACAAAAAACACCCCCCTAAAAATGTATAAACACACTAGTGGAAGAATATAAAAATAAAATTACTCTAAATGTAGATAAAAGACTCCTCTTAGTCTACCAATACAAAAACTCAAATAGTGTAACACCGTAATACTAAAAGTCTAAATGGGAATTTAGTAAGCATTACACTTACAAACAAATATTGATAGAAGGCAATGACCACTATGAATATCTTCACTCTTCTCAGGATCCCAAGTAGCGGCACCACATATGAAAGAAGACAAGAATGGGACACATAGAGTAGATCTTTACATTTAAATTCCCTCTATTTATTAATTTGCACTCAAAGGATTAAAAATAAGTAACAGCTTATCATCGATCTCCACTTGAAACCCCCATCAAAAGGATGTCCAGAAGGTGAAGTATCATGAGAAGCAGCATATGAGTTTCATCCACACTCTGGACTTCTTCAGGGTCAACATTCAAAATTTGTGTAGCTCCAGTCTGTATGTAAAATAAAATGACAAGGCTCGGTTTAAATCACCCTGTTCACTCCTCCATCTGACTGCCAGTAGCCAAGCCTGTCTCCTCCACACCACACCATACAGAAGATCCAGACAACTTTACATGAGCACAGGCTGGTGGTATGTTCTCCACCCAGAGAAACAAGACTATGCATTTTATTCCATACTGAACTCTGCATACTCTGGAATATATTACAATAAATAAATAAAAGAAAAGAGACAGCGCCAAACAACCTATAAGGCAGCAACCCAAAAAAAGGGAATCCCTCCAAAACAATAAAATACAAGATAAAAGCAAAGTATAAAAGTAGGGGTTCGCCAAAATAGACAATGTCCAATCCCAATAATAATAATAATTATTGAAGATAAAAAGTCCAACCTAAAAGTGTCCTCTCTGTCGTCCTAGGGTACAGGAACGTGATCTTCGGATATAATATATAAAAAATAAGAAGAGAGAGAACAACCGATAGTGTAGAATGTATGGTTCAAATGAAGTAAAATATGAATAATGATAACGAACGCACAATTTTCAGAGCTTCTGTCCAGCTCTAGGGTAAAGCGCACACAGCGGTATAATCCCCGCTGATGGGATGTATGATGGGTTCGTCAGGGTATCCAAAACTCAAAGAAAGCAGAAACATAGATAAAGGTCCTTTTATAAATACACACCTCAAAGAAAAATCTAAATTTTATCCATCTCATTACAAATCGGCTCCTCTTACTCTATTTGAAAAACTTGTCCAAAAAGATTTCGAATAAATCAAATATAACAAATATGACACTAATAACATCACAATAAGAGAAAGAAGGGCGATTAAAGAGCTTCAGATGGATAAAGAGATTGTAATAAAACCAGCGGACAAAGGTGGAGGAGTAGTTATCCAATCCAGCAAGATGTATATAGAAGAGGCTCAAAGACAATTAAATGATACAAGTGTATATGAAAAGCTTTCATCAGATCCAACTAAGAATATACAAGTTATTTTATCCAATTTTTTAACCAAAGGTTTTAATTTAAATATTTTAAACAAACATGAGTTTAAGTTTTTAAATAAATAATTTCCTATTATTCCTGTAATCTACTTTCTCCCTAAAATCCATAAAAATGAACAACACCCTCCAGGTAGACCAATTGTTTTTGGGATAGGATCCCTTTTATGCAACCTCTCCCAATATATTGATACCCTTCTTCAGCCTTCCGTGAGACTTATGAAATCCTTCCTCAAAGATTCTATGTCACTTTTAAAATTTCTACATAATTTTCCTTGGAAGTCAAACTTCATATTAGTTACTTGTGACGTTCAATCCCTTTAAACCATCATCCCCCATGGAATAGGATGCCAAGTCATAAAAGAGATTTTAACTCTTGAAGCAAAAATTCCTGCTACTCAAATTGATTTTATAATAGAAGGTATCAATATAATTCTTAATAATAATTATTTTTGTTTTTTAGATTCTTTTTATTTACAAAAAAGAGGTACATGGGGACTAGGTTTGCCCCCAGCTATGCGAACTTATTCATTGCTGATTGGGAAACCAAAGCCATTTGGGGTGATCATGCATGGCGGGCAAACCTAGTCACATACTTCAGATATATAGATGACCTTTTTTTTTATCTGGGAGGGCACTGAACAAAATCTTATTGCTTTTATTGATAATCTGAATGATAACACCAGTGGTATTATTTTAACTCACGAATTTAGCAGGGAATCCATTAACTTTTTAGACCTTAACATTTTTATAAAGGAAGGACAACTACAAACAAAAACCTTTTTTAAAAAAGTTTGTGTCAACACAGTTATAGATAAATCAAGTTGTCATTACAAGCCATGGCTCGAAAGCGCACCCAAGAGTCAATTCCTACGCCTTCATAGGAACTGCTCAGAATTGACAGATTTTAATGAACAAGCAGAGGTTTTAAAAAATAATTTTATTGAAAAAAACTACTCAGAGTCAGACTTAAACAATACTCTCAACACAATAAAGTTAAAAGAACGCAATGACCTTCTAACCTATAAAAATAAAGAGGATATTACACCTATGTCTCTCCCAATTATTTTTTAACTTTAATAACAAAAGTAAATCTATCAAAAAGATAATAAATAAGCACTGGAATATTCTCAAACACGATGAAGTACTCAACCATATTGTACCTGATTACCCTAACATTGTTCTTAGAGGAGCACCTAATTTTAAATCCATTTTAACCTCTAATTTTACAAGAGTACCTACTACAAATTTTTTTTTCCTTTTTCCCTCAAACTAAAGGCTTTCATAAATGTAAAAGCTGTATAGTATGCAGAACTACAAATCCCTCTACCTCATCTAAAACAACCCAATTCATGTCAAATAGGACTAAGAAAGTGTATAATATTCATGATTTTATCTGTTGTAACACAAAAAATGTGATTTATCTGCTCGAATGTCCATGTGGCTTCCAATATGTGGGGATGACCACAAGATGTTTAAAAACAAGATTGAGCGAACTACAGAAATATAAAAAATGGATACTTAAACCACACAGTATCCAAACATTTTATTATACACAATAAAGATCCTTATGTACTGAAATGTATTGGCATAAAAAAATGTTCTACCCCCTGGCGTGGGGGCGACATAAAAAAGATACTAGGATTAACCGAAATAGAATGGGTGTATAATCTCCAGACTCTTATACCCCATGGTCTTAATGCAGACTTTGACCTGCATAATTTTTTATAAAGATATTACTTGTATTCCTGTCATATTTTGCATTTCATTTAATTATTATGTGTTTTTATTTATCTACTCATAAGGTTATCACAGTGGCTTTTTATGGGAACCAATATTACTAATCAATATTTCCATAATTTTTTTTTTAATTTTTTTTTTTATATAATTTTTATAATATATTTTTTTTTCTTACTTTTATACTCTTTTTAGTTGACCTTTTATTATAGTATTCTGTTTCTTTTAATTGCATTTTAATTTAGTTTTATCCTTGTATTGGTCCTTTTAGCCTAATTAGGTTGTTATATCTCTTAACTACCTATCCCATGATGCTATGCTATTATACTTCCGAAATCCGGAAGTGTTTGTTATTTATGTAGGTTTCCCGCCCTCGTTTTTATGGTAACCCCATTTAATACTTTTTGTTCCAACATTCACCACACAAATATTGTATAATATTACCGCATGGGAAACTACAAGACCCAATAGGCTTTGCGGCTACACCTCCGAAACCGGAAGTGCCGCAAGTCACGTGACCCGGAAGTGCCGTAAATTCTGAAGGTTTCCCGTCCTCATTTTTAAGTTAACTTTATTTTATATCATCTGCCTTACTACTAACTATTTAAATATGATACTATAATGCCTTTTTGGATTTTTGTCCTAAACCCTTATAATAAGGTTGCCTTATGGGAGAACTACATAACCCATAAAGCTTTGCGACCACACCTCCGAAACCGGAAGTGCAGCAAAACACGCGACAAACTGTCCCTATGATTTTAAACCCTTTTTTACCTCGTTTTTAATTAAAAAAAATCACTGTATATGCCTTATTAAATGGTGTACTATTTGTAAATAATTTGATATTGTTAATTTGATATGTAAAAAAATACTTTCATCCTGATTGGCTAAAAAAAAAAATTTGGGTGCCAATTTTGAATCCAACTATGTCTATATAAACACTACCTGCCAGGTATTGTATTACATTCCATTTGATAAAGTCTGTATGACGAAACGCGTTATGGAAATATATTTTGTATAATAAATATTAAAGTTTTTGGTTACTTGATAGTTCCAACTACCTTTATTTATACATTTATCCTGGCTACTTATACATATCTTTTTAGTTATATGTTATATTTTATATACATTTTATTTAGATTTTTAACATCACCTCTACAAGTTCCTGACAAAAGAAATCCTAGGTGGGGATTATTCCACCAGCGCTGGCATCAAAGAGCAGTTGGCCTGCTCTGTACTTGTAAGTACGTTTTTTATTCTTCTCTACGATATATATTTATACAGAGAGCACTATCTGGCTGTTTCTGCTTTCTTTGAGTTTTGGATACCCTGACGAACCCATCATACATCCCATCAGCTGGGATTATACCGCTGTGTGCGCTTTACCCTAGAGCTGGACAGAAGCTCTGAAAATTGTGAGTTCGTTATCATTATTCATATTTTACTTCATTTGAACTATACATTCTACACTATCGGTTGTTCTCTCTCTTCTTATTTTTTATATATTATATCCGAAGATCACGTTCCTGTACCCTAGGACGACAGAGAGGACACTTTTAGGTTGGACTTTTTATCTTCAATAATTATTATTATTATTGGGATTGGACATTGTCTATTTTGGCGCAGCCCTCCTTTTATACTTTGCTTTTATCTGGAATATATTACTCTGTCATATCACACTACTATTTAACTGACACTGAGAAGATGCAGATCGGGACTGCAACTTCGTCAGACCATAGACTGGTCTTCCTGATGGTGTCCTCCCCCATTCACAGACCCAACGTTTCCAACTAGAGGCTAAATAATTATCTTCTCTCTGATGACTAACTTATGCAGGAAAGGCTCACCCAATTTTTTAAAGAAAATACCAATGCTGACATCTCCTCTCTATGCCTGTGGGAGGCCCACAAAGGCATTATGCTGGGATTTTTTTATCTCCAAAAGTGTCATCTGTCTAATGAGGCTAACACACTTACTACCAGAAATTCAGTTTCAGAAGAGTACTCATAAACATACAAATGACCAGACACAGTTTCAGTCCCATACCAAGCTACGTAGGGAGCTGTCCACACTGCTCAATGCCTCTTACCACATAGACCTACTTTTTCCATTCTAATAAGTGTGGGACTTTGTTAGACTGCATGATAAATAAGAAATAGATGATCACATATATCTCCAAAATACACTCCCCATTTCACACCCTCAAGTACTTGTTCGGAAGGGATACAGTGTTCCCCCACAATTCTTGGTGGCCAAAAACAGGGCAAGGACAGTGAGCACTGTGCCAAATGTTGCCAAATATAACTTCTGAATTGTGACTCGAAATTGTTCGACAAGATACTGGCAAGTAGGTTTTAATCAAACCTCAATGACTTGACCTGAAATACGGAGACGACAGCACACAATCCATCTCTATCACACATAACTCTCGCCTTACATCCAAGGGTCTTCTCCATCTGTCTACTGGTACAGAGAAGGTCACTGACAGAGTGAACTGGAAGTTTCTCTTCTTGATACTGGAACATTTGGGCCTTGGCCTGAGCATGCTGGTCTGGAGTTGTTGAATATACACATCTCTTGGGAGTTAAAAAGAAGTGGAAAGGGGTAGAGTCTGATCAGGTGGGTAGACATATCAATGTTTTGCCATAATTGGAAATTACAGAGAGCACCAGATTGGCAGCCCCCACCTGTTAATTTCAGCTACACTGATGTGACATTAAGTGGCAGCACAACTGAAAATGTCCTTCATCCTGTCCGGTGGTTCATAACCTGACATACCCCCATGGTCTTCTAAGACAGCCTAGTTAAATGGCTCACCTCTTTTATAAAGGTCCTACCAGGAGGTCCTTGGCTTGGAGAGTAGTTCACACAACTGATATGGGGTAAATTCCATCCTGCAGTGTCCTTGCCTTCATCAAAACTTGATATCATTTGAAACATTATGCTTAGACCGGGGTCCCATGGATCATGGAATTTCATGGATCTTCAACTCAAGATCTAGATTTTGTGGGAATATGCTAGGGAAGACATTCACTCCACATCAGTGGCATATAATCAGTGACTTAACACAGCAGATTGGTCTCAAGCGGATTTCAGGATCAACTCCTCATATGCCTCAAAATAGATAACACATGCTGGCAATTCCAGGAAGTGGAGGGCACTATGCTACACATTTGGTAGGAATGTCGGTTAATACACCCATACTGGATGCAGATCTACTGAATCATTAAAAATTCTCTCCCATTTTGCCCCACCCCCCTGTTCTGCTCTACTATACAACTACATGTTCCACCACTTATAAGAAGTCCTACTATTAGGATTTTATATGTTGCAAAAGTGTTGTTTTGGAAACAAACAAATCCACCAGCACTGACTCTATGGAGAAGTTGTACTGCAATAAGGACTTGAAATTCAATGCCTCTGGTCATCTCCAAAATTATCAACACATCTGGGTCAATGGATTCTTTATCCAGAGAGTACAAATTTCCAGACACTATTACAATGAGGGTGCTGAAAGGCATGTATATAGAGTTGCCACCTATGTCATCCAGTTACAGCCCTACTTACAACTTCTAGCTCTTACAGACATTGTTAGATGACCATCAGCTTTCAGTGGTTAATGCCTTGTGCAGATAACTGAGGAAGTCAAAATGAACTTGGGATCCATAATCTCAGCGTCAATGGGCCATACATATCCTGAGCTGTTTGAGATGAATGGATGGGTGGGCGGGTGGGCAAACGGATGGGCAAACCGATAGACAGCTTCACTTACCAGAATATTCCTTCCCTCTATGACCAGCAATCACTTGCAGCTACACAGACCTCAGCAGGCTTTTATCTCACAATTACTAATCTTCCAAACTGCCTTTATAGGTGTGTCATTTCTTAACATCTTCAAGAGTTTAATTTATGTGACATAAATGGGGTGTGTGTTATAATTCAAAACTGGTCTCAAGTATTTTATATTTTCAAAGCCCTGTTACTCTTTTTTTATCTTGGTTTCTATCTATCTATTCTCTTTAAAGTGTGTAATTGACTTTACCATGTTGTTGAGGGAACGTTACTTAGTTGATTAGCAGGATTCTTCCTTGGCTCTCCTTCAAGGTGGCACCTCTGGCTGTGCCAACAAAATGTGGAACGTAGAATAGCAAAAAATATACAAAGAGCAATAATCAAATTTGAAAGAAGATGCATTTCTTTGATGAATTGAATGCTCATTCATAACATAAATAGAACAATGCAGGCTCTGATTCAGAGGTCTCCACGATGACCGGTGTAACAGTGCCCAAAAAAGCCCTATAATTACTCTCCTAAAATGGGGAATAACCCACGAATATTAATAGAAAAGACAGAAATGGGGACTAAAAAAGTCCTAGACAGGAGAGTAATGTAAGGGAAGGGGGTCCCTACCTTTAATAGCTATTTGCCCTGATCAGTTAAATCAACTCCTCTAGATCCACAGCATCGGGTGGGTCTTCACGTATGCCACTTTGTTGTTATTTTGCCGCTACGGTTTTGACCCCCCCCTACATTTTGATCCCCACGTGGGTACCGCCCAATCCTCAGACATAGCTCCCCGCCTACGTCATGACCATGTGTCATTTGACGTCGGCGATAAGGGGCGGTCCTGGTGAGTCACCGGACCAATGAACAGCTAGGAACGCCTCTCCGCTTACGTCACGATTACATGTGTCGTTGGCGGGGCGGTTCTATGAGCCCTGTGGACCAATGAATAGCTGGGCGGCATTCCTAATATGTGATTTACACAGCATTCAATATTTTTCGTTGATTACTACAACAGGTATTTAAATCGTTACAGGGACCTCACAAGTTGACTGCTCCTGACGACGGCGTGTTGAAACGCTGAAACGCACGTCGAGTTTATTTTGATTTATTTACTTCACTTTTTGGTAGCACTTATGGATTAGTTTATTGATCTTTTTTTAGCTACTAGGACAGGAAGGGATTTAGGTTTGGGTAGGCACTAGTGATTGTCTCACAGTGCCGAGGTAATTAGGGTCAGCTTACTATTTTTAGTAGCTATTTGCCTTGATACAGCATATAGCTCTGGGGTGCTTCTTTTTTTCCCCCATAGAGGATTTTTCAACCTCTTCTACCCCAGTCTGTTATCCCTTTACCTCTCTCTATCTGGGTGTTGTACCTGTGAGGTTTAGAATGTATGTAGCTTAGACCTACAGCCAGAGTATTTGTCTTTTTGGAGCTGGCAATTGATCTCTGTGTCTGTTTTAGGGAAGTCTTATACTACACATTTCCTTTTACATCCACTTTTCTTTTCCCTTATTATCTTTCCTGTCCTATTTTAATTTTAATTTTGTTTTTCCTTTAGGATTATTAAAGGTAGGGACCCCCTTCCCTTACATTACTCTCCTGTCTATGACTTTTTCAGTCTCCATTTCTGTCATTCATAACATACTCTATTCTATTTGGGCAAGTCACGATGCCAGGAATCATGACTAATTCGTGAGGGAATTGCACAACATGGGCAAAAATAATCATGTTGGATATAATTCTCAAACTGTGCAGCTCGTTTATTTTGTTCTAAATCTCATTGTTCCCTTTTCAACTTTTGTTGAATGAATAACCACTACAAGACACTAAATAATATCTGTAATAAACGTTTAACTCGCAAGTTGGAATGAACTTGGAATTAATAATAACATTAATAACTAAAAATAATAACTTAAAATAATAACTTAAAAACCGAGTGTAAAGTCAGAGTCCACACTCCTTGCTTTCGGCAATTCAATAATATTTATTAATAAAGGCTTAATCAAACAAATAAACAATACATATACATTTAAAATAGGCTAGTATATGTTGCTACTAAAACTAACATTGACTGAATGGAAAGTAGGCTAAATTAACATAATAAAACAGGCATAGACACGTGATACAGTTACCACTCCATTGATCAGCAGCTGAGAGTAAGAGAGAGAGGGTGTGTATAGTGGGGAGAGGGGAGAGAGGAGAGAGAAGGTGAAGAGAGGTAATTCAAAAAGAGAGAGAATGTGCTATTCACAGGGCTTTAAACAGGTTAGTCCCTCCTTCTGCTGGACACACCTCCCTTAGTCAATCCCTTAGGATGTAACAGAACCAGAGTGCCTCCTGGGGGAAGGGGTATTGCATTGGAAGGGAATGGAGGAGGAGTTTATCAACAACCCAACTGATTTTGCCTGGTGAAAGGCCATGTGCTTCACAGAGGACTCCATTATTGCCTAAGGGTAGAATGGGGGCTTGAATCCCTGTATTAGAACACAATAACACTTCATTGGCATACAGTTTGGCTGTTAATCACATCCCCCCACTTATTACATCCCTCCTATTGGCAATGAAGTGGATGAGACACTTAGACTCTATAAAACCCACCAGAGATAAGAGAGAGAGATAATGCATCCTGCAGTGTATCTACTTATGTGAATGCACAACCCATTGTCACAATAGAGCTCTGCCATTTACATATCATATTGGAGATGATATACTCTAACAATCAATGACTTTAAGTAACAACAAATACCAACCTGATTAACAATGCATACTACAGAAAACACACAATACAATAATAAATGGGTGAATTAATACATTTTCCACGGTAGTACCCCATGATGATTGGTTTCGGAAGTGAGTTTTTTTTATTTTTTTATTTCTTCCACCAGGTAGTACTAGCCATGTCAGTAAATAAATGTTCAGTTAGTTAAAGTTCTTGTTGTTGATGAAAGAACTTAGCACAGGTTTGTTGATCCTTCTGTGTCCAATCCTCCATTAAAGTATTGATAGTTCTCTGAATTTAACACCTTCAGACTGGAGTGTTGCAGTCATACTATATATATCAATTATATTTACAAAACCCAACCCAGTACCCACACCTCCCAGAACCGTACCCAAGACAACCCTCCTATTCCTAGTTCTACTTCTTGTCACCCATCTGACTAAAACCTTATTAATAGTGGATGTGACCCTAGAAAAGTTCTGAAAGTGTGATGAAACTAGTCAATCTGTTAGTCGAATCAATTGGAAAGTAATATTCCTGACTATAGGTGTAGGTCTCAGTGTACATATTTGGAAATTACCACTAGAGACCACTCTAATCTCCTGACACTCAGGTCTGCTCCCATTATCCATTAGTGAAGGAGTTGTATGAATATAGGTGAAAGGAGGAGTCAGGATTATAGGCTCTATCTCTTCCTCTACATTCAACAAGACCTTCACTTCCCCACCCTTATTGTGTCCTACTGTTCCCCAATTTATCCCCTTTATGATTAATGTATCCACTATAATTCGTGTTATATGATACTTTCTAAGATTGCTGTTAACATTATAACTAGGGTTAGTAACATTTCATAACATTTCATTTCATATTAATATTTCCTCCCTCCATATCTACAACCAATTTTCCCCAACCAGTCCATATTCATTCCCATTTTCCTCAACCAGCCCATATACATTCCCATTTTCCTCAGCCAGTCCATATACATTCCCAATGTTCTTAATTTCCCTTATTGTCTTTTCCAAAATCCCTTGAAAGAATCACGTTGCTTTAGCCAAACAATCTTGACCGCCCACCCAAAATTAATTGTCACATCTACATATGGAACTTGTAGATTGTCACTGCTGTCCTCTGTTAAGTATTTGGTAGATCGAGCTGCATTTGCATAGATACAGCTGTTGTTGCTTTGGCCTGTGATAAGCTGTTCCATCAATTTCCAGGTGAGTTTTAGCATGTTGAGTGACATCCATGTCTCGGTACTTTTGGAAAAATACGATTTGTGTCTTCAGACTGCAGGCAAATCAAATGGTGTGCACCCCACTTTGAATCCTTGGTCTGGCTATCTCCGATCCTCCAGAAGTGATGGCCGGCTTACAAACTGCGTCTCACTCTGGTTGCCTCTGTAGGATCCCGCACGTCCTGGCCCTGGACGTATTGCCGAAAACGCTCACAAAAAATAAAACAAAAATTGGTTCGGTTATTTTGTCCCCTTTTATAGCTCACATGTATCTGGAGAAGACTGGATTGTTCCCCCCTTGCAAGTGAGCTTAAAAGGTGGTAGAAAATAATAACATGGCTCGCCAAATGTAATAAACGTTTAACTCGCAAGTTGGAATAAACTTGGAATTAATAATAACATTAATAACTAAAAATAATAACTTAAAATAATAACTTAAAAACCGAGTGTAAAGTCAGAGTCCACACTCCTTGCTTTCGGCAATTCAATAATATTTATTAATAAAGGCTTAATCAAACAAATAAACAATACATATACATTTAAAATAGGCTAGTATATGTTGCTACTAAAACTAACATTGACTGAATGGAAAGTAGGCTAAATTAACATAATAAAACAGGCATAGACACGTGATACAGTTACCACTCCATTGATCAGCAGCTGAGAGTAAGAGAGAGAGGGTGTGTATAGTGGGGAGAGGGGAGAGAGAAGAGAGAAGGTGAAGAGAGGTAATTCAAAAAGAGAGAGAATGTGCTATTCACAGGGCTTTAAACAGGTTAGTCCCTCCTTCTGCTGGACACACCTCCCTTAGTCAATCCCTTAGGATGTAACAGAACCAGAGTGCCTCCTGGGGGAAGGGGTATTGCATTGGAAGGGAATGGAGGAGGAGTTTATCAACAACCCAACTGATTTTGCCTGGTGAAAGGCCATGTGCTTCACAGAGGACTCCATTATTGCCTAAGGGTAGAATGGGGGCTTGAATCCCTGTATTAGAACACAATAACACTTCATTGGCATACAGTTTGGCTGTTAATCACATCCCCCCACTTATTACATCCCTCCTATTGGCAATGAAGTGGATGAGACACTTAGACTCTATAAAACCCACCAGAGATAAGAGAGAGAGATAATGCATCCTGCAGTGTATCTACTTATGTGAATGCACAACCCATTGTCACAATAGAGCTCTGCCATTTACATATCATATTGGAGATGATATACTCTAACAATCAATGACTTTAAGTAACAACAAATACCAACCTGATTAACAATGCATACTACAGAAAACACACAATACAATAATAAATGGGTGAATTAATACATTTTCCACGGTAGTACCCCATGATGATTGGTTTCGGAAGTGAGTTTTTTTTATTTTTTTATTTCTTCCACCAGGTAGTACTAGCCATGTCAGTAAATAAATGTTCAGTTAGTTAAAGTTCTTGTTGTTGATGAAAGAACTTAGCACAGGTTTGTTGATCCTTCTGTGTCCAATCCTCCATTAAAGTATTGATAGTTCTCTGAATTTAACACCTTCAGACTGGAGTGTTGCAGTCATACTATATATATCAATTATATTTACAAAACCCAACCCAGTACCCACACCTCCCAGAACCGTACCCAAGACAACCCTCCTATTCCTAGTTCTACTTCTTGTCACCCATCTGACTAAAACCTTATTAATAGTGGATGTGACCCTAGAAAAGTTCTGAAAGTGTGATGAAACTAGTCAATCTGTTAGTCGAATCAATTGGAAAGTAATATTCCTGACTATAGGTGTAGGTCTCAGTGTACATATTTGGAAATTACCACTAGAGACCACTCTAATCTCCTGACACTCAGGTCTGCTCCCATTATCCATTAGTGAAGGAGTTGTATGAATATAGGTGAAAGGAGGAGTCAGGATTATAGGCTCTATCTCTTCCTCTACATTCAACAAGACCTTCACTTCCCCACCCTTATTGTGTCCTACTGTTCCCCAATTTATCCCCTTTATGATTAATGTATCCACTATAATTCGTGTTATATGATACTTTCTAAGATTGCTGTTAACATTATAACTAGGGTTAGTAACATTTCATAACATTTCATTTCATATTAATATTTCCTCCCTCCATATCTACAACCAATTTTCCCCAACCAGTCCATATTCATTCCCATTTTCCTCAACCAGCCCATATACATTCCCATTTTCCTCAGCCAGTCCATATACATTCCCAATGTTCTTAATTTCCCTTATTGTCTTTTCCAAAATCCCTTGAAAGAATCACGTTGCTTTAGCCAAACAATCTTGACCGCCCACCCAAAATTAATTGTCACATCTACATATGGAACTTGTAGATTGTCACTGCTGTCCTCTGTTAAGTATTTGGTAGATCGAGCTGCATTTGCATAGATACAGCTGTTGTTGCTTTGGCCTGTGATAAGCTGTTCCATCAATTTCCAGGTGAGTTTTAGCATGTTGAGTGACATCCATGTCTCGGTACTTTTGGAAAAATACGATTTGTGTCTTCAGACTGCAGGCAAATCAAATGGTGTGCACCCCACTTTGAATCCTTGGTCTGGCTATCTCCGATCCTCCAGAAGTGATGGCCGGCTTACAAACTGCGTCTCACTCTGGTTGCCTCTGTAGGATCCCGCACGTCCTGGCCCTGGACGTATTGCCGAAAACGCTCACAAAAAAATAAAACAAAAATTGGTTCGGTTATTTTGTCCCCTTTTATAGCTCACATGTATCTGGAGAAGACTGGATTGTTCCCCCCTTGCAAGTGAGCTTAAAAGGTGGTAGAAAATAATAACATGGCTCGCCAAATGTAATAAACGTTTAACTCGCAAGTTGGAATAAACTTGGAATTAATAATAACATTAATAACTAAAAATAATAACTTAAAATAATAACTTAAAAACCGAGTGTAAAGTCAGAGTCCACACTCCTTGCTTTCGGCAATTCAATAATATTTATTAATAAAGGCTTAATCAAACAAATAAACAATACATATACATTTAAAATAGGCTAGTATATGTTGCTACTAAAACTAACATTGACTGAATGGAAAGTAGGCTAAATTAACATAATAAAACAGGCATAGACACGTGATACAGTTACCACTCCATTGATCAGCAGCTGAGAGTAAGAGAGAGAGGGTGTGTATAGTGGGGAGAGGGGAGAGAGAAGAGAGAAGGTGAAGAGAGGTAATTCAAAAAGAGAGAGAATGTGCTATTCACAGGGCTTTAAACAGGTTAGTCCCTCCTTCTGCTGGACACACCTCCCTCAGTCAATCCCTTAGGATGTAACAGAACCAGAGTGCCTCCTGGGGGAAGGGGTATTGCATTGGAAGGGAATGGAGGAGGAGTTTATCAACAACCCAACTGATTTTGCCTGGTGAAAGGCCATGTGCTTCACAGAGGACTCCATTATTGCCTAAGGGTAGAATGGGGGCTTGAATCCCTGTATTAGAACACAATAACACTTCATTGGCATACAGTTTGGCTGTTAATCACATCCCCCCACTTATTACATCCCTCCTATTGGCAATGAAGTGGATGAGACACTTAGACTCTATAAAACCCACCAGAGATAAGAGAGAGAGATAATGCATCCTGCAGTGTATCTACTTATGTGAATGCACAACCCATTGTCACAATAGAGCTCTGCCATTTACATATCATATTGGAGATGATATACTCTAACAATCAATGACTTTAAGTAACAACAAATACCAACCTGATTAACAATGCATACTACAGAAAACACACAATACAATAATAAATGGGTGAATTAATACATTTTCCACGGTAGTACCCCATGATGATTGGTTTCGGAAGTGAGTTTTTTTTATTTTTTTATTTCTTCCACCAGGTAGTACTAGCCATGTCAGTAAATAAATGTTCAGTTAGTTAAAGTTCTTGTTGTTGATGAAAGAACTTAGCACAGGTTTGTTGATCCTTCTGTGTCCAATCCTCCATTAAAGTATTGATAGTTCTCTGAATTTAACACCTTCAGACTGGAGTGTTGCAGTCATACTATATATATCAATTATATTTACAAAACCCAACCCAGTACCCACACCTCCCAGAACCGTACCCAAGACAACCCTCCTATTCCTAGTTCTACTTCTTGTCACCCATCTGACTAAAACCTTATTAATAGTGGATGTGACCCTAGAAAAGTTCTGAAAGTGTGATGAAACTAGTCAATCTGTTAGTCGAATCAATTGGAAAGTAATATTCCTGACTATAGGTGTAGGTCTCAGTGTACATATTTGGAAATTACCACTAGAGACCACTCTAATCTCCTGACACTCAGGTCTGCTCCCATTATCCATTAGTGAAGGAGTTGTATGAATATAGGTGAAAGGAGGAGTCAGGATTATAGGCTCTATCTCTTCCTCTACATTCAACAAGACCTTCACTTCCCCACCCTTATTGTGTCCTACTGTTCCCCAATTTATCCCCTTTATGATTAATGTATCCACTATAATTCGTGTTATATGATACTTTCTAAGATTGCTGTTAACATTATAACTAGGGTTAGTAACATTTCATAACATTTCATTTCATATTAATATTTCCTCCCTCCATATCTACAACCAATTTTCCCCAACCAGTCCATATTCATTCCCATTTTCCTCAACCAGCCCATATACATTCCCATTTTCCTCAGCCAGTCCATATACATTCCCAATGTTCTTAATTTCCCTTATTGTCTTTTCCAAAATCCCTTGAAAGAATCACGTTGCTTTAGCCAAACAATCTTGACCGCCCACCCAAAATTAATTGTCACATCTACATATGGAACTTGTAGATTGTCACTGCTGTCCTCTGTTAAGTATTTGGTAGATCGAGCTGCATTTGCATAGATACAGCTGTTGTTGCTTTGGCCTGTGATAAGCTGTTCCATCAATTTCCAGGTGAGTTTTAGCATGTTGAGTGACATCCATGTCTCGGTACTTTTGGAAAAATACGATTTGTGTCTTCAGACTGCAGGCAAATCAAATGGTGTGCACCCCACTTTGAATCCTTGGTCTGGCTATCTCCGATCCTCCAGAAGTGATGGCCGGCTTACAAACTGCGTCTCACTCTGGTTGCCTCTGTAGGATCCCGCACGTCCTGGCCTTGGACGTATTGCCGAAAACGCTCACAAAAAAATAAAACAAAAATTGGTTCGGTTATTTTGTCCCCTTTTATAGCTCACATGTATCTGGAGAAGATGTTCCCCCCTTGCAAGTGAGCTTAAAAGGTGGTAGAAAATAATAACATGGCTCGCCAAATGTAATAAACGTTTAACTCGCAAGTTGGAATAAACTTGGAATTAATAATAACATTAATAACTAAAAATAATAACTTAAAATAATAACTTAAAACCCGAGTGTAAAGTCAGAGTCCACACTCCTTGCTTTCGGCAATTCAATAATATTTATTAATAAAGGCTTAATCAAACAAATAAACAATACATATACATTTAAAATAGGCTAGTATATGTTGCTACTAAAACTAACATTGACTGAATGGAAAGTAGGCTAAATTAACATAATAAAACAGGCATAGACACGTGATACAGTTACCACTCCATTGATCAGCAGCTGAGAGTAAGAGAGAGAGGGTGTGTATAGTGGGGAGAGGGGAGAGAGAAGAGAGAAGGTGAAGAGAGGTAATTCAAAAAGAGAGAGAATGTGCTATTCACAGGGCTTTAAACAGGTTAGTCCCTCCTTCTGCTGGACACACCTCCCTCAGTCAATCCCTTAGGATGTAACAGAACCAGAGTGCCTCCTGGGGGAAGGGGTATTGCATTGGAAGGGAATGGAGGAGGAGTTTATCAACAACCCAACTGATTTTGCCTGGTGAAAGGCCATGTGCTTTACAGAGGACTCCATTATTGCCTAAGGGTAGAATGGGGGCTTGAATCCCTGTATTAGAACACAATAACACTTCATTGGCATACAGTTTGGCTGTTAATCACATCCCCCCACTTATTACAATATCCAAAACACATGGTAAATCATGAATCATAAAATATTTTGTTTTGCTAAAAATGATCCAGTAGAAAATGGTGCCTCTTTATAATGATAGGGCATTAGTTACATTCTTACTACAGTGCATCTCTCTGAAATATGCTAAATGGAAGGTGCCAGTGGCAAAGGCACTTAGGGTATAATAGATTCAGTATATTTCACCTAACTGTAGGAAATCAGCATATAATACCAGGAACTGGATCACAGAAGATTTGACTTTGATATCAGGTTCAGATGCACATGTCTGTATCAAAGACAACTATAGTTTATAAATCAAAGACTGTCCAAGCATAAATGGACCAACATTTTCCTGCCCCAATTTATGGTATTTATATTATGCTTTCTCATTTAGTTAGATTTTTAACTCATTTAACTAGTTGTTCTCTAATTTAAAAAATGGGTTCTCTAAACAATGCCATTATTTATAAATTAAGCAAAATTCAGAGCCGATTGTGTTTTACGACATTGGAAATCATCTTTCATGAAATTCTAACTTCTCACTGGGTTACTATTCAGATTCTATTAAGCAAAATTATGCTTGTATCAACTTTAAAAATATATAAATATATATAAAAGGAGAATTATGTTCATCATAAGCATCAAAGCATACATCACAGACCTATTTTCTTTTTCTCAATAATTTAATCAATCTTGCCCGAACATGTCTATTCAAGACTGCACTAAACCCACTTTCTGCCTGTAGAAAGTACTATAGAATAATCATTTTGGTCTTCCTTAAATTTGACAGTATAAGTACGGACAAGATGAGCATTGTTGATTTGAGTTGTGCTCATTTAGCATGGCTAAATGTATTCTTATTGATGCCTTGTTTTCTATAAATGTGTTGCAGTCCATCAGCGCTGCAGGGGTAGCACACTACAGCTTAAACTGCTGAGTGTGTCACCGACACTCTTTTAGCCAGAACAAAGTATCTCTATCATTTCTTCCCTTGTACAATTCACATCTCATCTCAGCTGCAAGTGCTCCTGAAATGAAGCTGTCACTCAAAGCTGTTCAGGGATCTGTCAATCAAGCATTGAGTCTTTTCATTGTAATGGGTCAGCTTCGGTGCCCCTTTGAAAGAAAAGTCCATACCAAAGGGTTTTTATTCATTCCATAGGAATCCTGAATTTTAATGAAATTCAAAATCTCTCAATAAAAGCTGGGACTGTAGCCCTAATCCAGCCCACCTCTGATTGAAATCTGTATTTTATTTTGCTTTCCCAGCCCTGTATTCTTAATTTTTACCATGCACCACATAAAGAGTAATTTTTCATAGGGAGATGTAATAGAAAGAGTATTGTTATTTTTATTGTTTGTAAGTAAACAAGAAAATAATTTATTGTGGATAAACAGACATGTCTAATATTATATGAATGCTCTGTTATATTGCATTAAAATTTAGGTAGATGATTTATTAGAGAGACAGAAAGAAAATGTTATAATTAAAAAATTAACACAATTATTTTTGGTAGCAACTGCCAATCTGGATAGTACATATGAGGGTGCAAGGCGCACAATTGGTTTCTCTATTTGTCCATGGACATGTGGTAGAGACAAATAGATGGTTCTTAAAGTAAACTAGATGCAGTCAATAGGCAATTAAATATCATCCATGCTTTTGCCTGATTGGCACTACTTTTTTGGAATTTGATAAATATGTGTCCTGATATTTGATAAATATGTGTCCTGATAACAAATATTAAAGACAACATTTGTCCCTACTAACAATACACTGGCAATTCAGATTTCGGAGGGCATGTCTTACTATAAAGTCCATTTGACTGCAATCCTTCTCAATGAGTTGTTCTGCTATTGCACAGGAGAGACGTTGTGAGGTCACAAGCCATCTCATGAGATCTCAAGTCTAATACCAGTTTTGCAGAACATCATATGGAGCAAGATGACAAAACGGAGAGACTGGAGAAAAAGACAAATGTAAACGTATATTTTCCAGTGAATAATGTTATATTGTAAGTACTATTTCATACATTCAGGACTGGGCAGTATAGAACAAAGAATGATAGAACAAAGTGTTATTGGCCCAACAGAACTTGTTTGGGAAAACTTTGTTTTACAGGGATAAAATATTCATTATTTTAGAGGAACAACTGTGTTAGGAGGTCAGGTGTCTGTTTGGATTCTGTAATTTGGTCTGATCAGTTTTAGTTCATGCCCTTGTTCACTTGTTCATGCATATTCCTACCTGTTCTAACAGCAAGTTTCAGCATGAGATTACATTGGCAGTATTACTATGGGACATATATGTTAATGAGACAAAATGCTACTCAATGGTATAAACTAATATGCCTTAGCATCACCAAACTGCTGGTAGGTTTACTGAATTTTAAAACTAGTGTAAAGTTTCTGACTAATGTAATAAGTTACGTCTAAGTTACGTCTATCTTCTGTCCGTACTCCCACCTCTGATGCTCGCCTTCAAGACTTCTCGAGGGCTGCACCGTTACCGCTTCCCTCCTCCGTTAGATGCTCACCCATGTCTCCACTCCTTAAAAAAAAATCACTAAATACTCACTTCTTCATAAAAGCGTATCAGTTAAACTGTTAATAGCTCCCAACTGATTCCTCTATTGCAACTGTCACTAGTATAATACTATCCTTACCTTTTGTCACTTTACCCCACTCCCTCTAGCATGTAAGCTCATTGGCAGGTCCCTCAACCCTTCTGTTCCTGTGTATCCAACCTATCTGGTTACAACTGCATGTCTGTTCGTCCACCCATTGTAAAGGGCTGTGGAATTTGATGGCGCTATATAAATAATAACATAATAATAATAATAATAATAAGGACCAACCAAATATTTATAAGCACACAAAGTGATAAAGTGATTAAAGGAACACCTCAAGCACCATAACCCCTGCTAGAGTGGTTATTATGCTAGATTCCCCCTGCATCATCCAAACCTTTGCTCTGTAAAGAAATCTGGACTTTCTTGCTGGAGAAGACCAGATGCAGGAGACTCGGCCACGGGTGTTCAGCAGTGCCCATGTATGTTGTAAAATCCTGTTAAAAAAATTTACATTGTCCTGTGGGTTGTGCCAGGGCACTCCAGGAATCTTAATCACTACAGTAAGCTAGAGAGGATTATATTAATGAATGTAGGACAAAGCATTATTATTATTTTTATGTAAATAAAAATGATAGTTCCGGGAATACAGCAAATTTAGCAATTTTAAACTCAACCTGGATAAATCAGAGGCATTAAACGTATCACCATCAGCCTGGGATTTGGAACACCTGATCTTGAACTATCGCTTCCATTGGTGTCCGGATCGGTTGCAATACCTGGGGGTCTGGATACCACGGGACTTACAGCTGTTATATCAATTTAACTTTCGACCACTCCTCACCTGCCTTCAGTTGGACATGAAGGCATGGCTAACACCCCACTTTTCATGGACTGGGCGAATCAACTCCATAAAGATGAACATCCTCTACAGAATCTTCTACTTTTTCTAGAACATACCTCTTACTCTACCGGTCGCCTTCTTCAAATCCCTAAACATGGCGTTGGTGCAGTACTTCTGGAGAGGCCGGAGATCCCGACTTCGCATGTTGCAACTGATGAGATCTAAAATAGAAGGGGGGCTGGGTCTACCCTCGTTTCTGATGTATTACAGAGCCACTTATCTGACCAGAATAGTGGAGTGGCACAAGACCGGGACCAGAAAGATCTGGTGCAGCCTTGAACGTGAGATAGCAGGTGGACGCATACTGTCCGCGGTATGGTTACCCGAGGGAAGACGGGATTATTTCTACGGGAACAGCCATTCATAGGTGCCATACTGAGATTATGGTATCAAATACGACATAATACGACACCGGGTCTACACAGATGAACACAAGCTTTCCTGCATGGAGGCATGTACGTCCAACTGTCAGACTTGTGTACCAAAGGGATACTGAAGCCACTCAGGGACCTGCTACCAGACAGAGCACCCACTGCTATAGAAACCTTCAGATACCATCAACTCCATCACTTTGTAGCCACCATAACACCCCAACTGGGGCTCGCCAGGCCGCTGACGCCAGTGGAAGACATGTGCAACAGGGCAGAACCTATGTATCAGGGAATATACACACTTTATCAACTACTGATGTCCTCCGATACACCACCGCCACCCAGATTCCAATCACTATGGAAAGAAGCACTCAACGTGACATTCACGGACAAGGAGTGAGATAAGATGACCACGTTCATCTACCACAGCTCACTATGCGCAAACTATAGGGAAACAAACTATAAAATCTTTACCCACTGGTATGACACACCACAGAATCTTCACAAATTTTTCCTAGATGGATTTATCAATTGTGTGTTGCAGCCAGCGGCCTGTTCTCTCTCCAGCTAGCAGGGAAGGTTTAGGAGCTTGAAGGAAGGTGGCCCGTACCAAGCAGACTGCCCGTAAGTCCACTGGTGGCAAGGCCCCCAGGAAGCAGCTGGCCCACCCACTGGTGGGTTGAAGAAACCCCATCACTACAGGCAGGGTACTGTGGCTCTCCATGAAATCAGACGTTACTAGAAGTCCACAGAGTTTCACTGATTCGGAGATTTCCCTTCCAGCATCTGGTCCGTGAAATCGCTCAGGACTTCAAAAAAGATTTGCGCTTTCAGAGCGCTGCTATTGGTGCTTTGCAGGAGGCTAGTGAGGCCTACCTGGTCGGTCAGTTTGAAGACACCAACTTGTGTGCTATTCACACCAAACGCGTAACAATTATGCCAAAAGACATCCAGTTAGCACGTTGCATACGAGGAGAACGCGCTTAAATTCCTACCGCGAGGAACCCTTTTCATCTTCAAACACAAAAAAAAAAAATCTCCTCTTCTTGTCATTGGTAGTTATGAACGTTAGATATTTTTTTTTCTCCATGGGGTTAAAAGATACCTAAATATATGGTTGTGAATGGAAATTCTAGGGGACAGAATCGAATTTGGGGAAACGTTTTTTTCCCTTTTGATTTGTGTGTGAATTCTCCATATAAAAGATTAAAGGTCATTCAATGATTCAACTTTAAAATAAAATATAAATAAATTTCTTTAGATTTTTTCTGGACAATGCCAGCATTTGGATTTTTTTTTAAATTAGTAAATTACTTATCAATGGCAACTAAATGGTGTTGGTAGCATTTTTATCATGTAGTAAATTCCATCCATTCACTATATTTTTATTTATTTTTTCTAACTGAGTTCTCCTACATTGAAGTACATGTTTTTAATGTTGTCTGTTTTTTTGTGCTGTTCCTGTACGTTTGCTATTAAAATACATTAAACGACAAATAAAAAACATATGCTGGAGGTGCGAGAATGGATTCTTCTCATCTTTCCTGATGTGGGGTCTGATGTGCAGAGTTATACGCTCTTGCAAATAAACATAGACCAAGGTGACCAGCTAAGAAGCCAACTGGGCTGTGAGTTTGTGCACGGGGACTGTGCAGGTAAAGTGCTCCGAATCGCAGGACAGGCAAGGACACAAGCAGAAGATCAGGAACAAAATGTATTAATCGAGGATAAGTGTAAGCTGTGGTGCATTGAATTATTATTATTATACGTTATAATAATTATTATAATATTATATGACAACACATTCTGCCCCTCCACATGCTTGTTGAAAAGCTTGAAACCAGAACCTTATGAATGCGGCAGGCAGGGATGCCGCAAATTGGCTTAGTGTGGTCAACCGATACTCTCATCAGTTAGTGGCTATTTATTCATAAAAATGGCTTGTGAAAAATCTCAAGCCATTTTGGAAATAGGGGTGTACTGATTGGCTGTCAGCATTAGCTGACTGCTCTAAGCCAATTAGCCGTGCCACTCCTAGGCTTCTGTTTTCAGGCTTTTCCCCAATCGAATGTTGGAGGGACAGAGGTTTCAGGGCAAAACTGTTAATAAATGATTCCACTCCTAAAAGTAAGCATCAGGAGCCTCCTGGCACAATTAAGTCATTATGGTGCTCTTTGTGTCCCTTTAAATACTCTTGAGTTACTGGGGACACTATCTGACTGTAAACAAGCAAAATGTTTAGATTTGAGGTATTTATAGTGCTCAATTATTGTACCTTTAAGTATAAATAGATTTTTCAATTTAAAAAAATATTTTACCTTGGAACATCTTTAACCCCTTAAGGACCAAACTTCTGGAAATAAAGGGAATCATGACATGCAACACATATCATGTGTCCTTAAGGGGTTAAGGGAACTCTTATTGCACCTTCCTTAGGAGAAGACGTGGTAATCACAATGCAGATGTCTCTTGGTTAAAAAAAGAAGGAACGGAGATACAGCGATAACTTCAAAGGCAGCAGAATAGAATCTTCTACTTGGATACCCCAACAATCCAAGAAAAAACAAGAAGAAAGAAAGAAAACAGACTGCGCCAAATATGAATTATCGAATAAACAAATATTGATATGTACATATAGACATACAATATTATTAATTGTAGTCAAAATAAGTCAAATAAAGGTGTAATACAAGTCCTTAATAGAAAATTCTTTATGGTAATAAAAAAACAGTTGGAAATAGTGCTTTTTTGGAGGTCAATCTCTTATCCTCCTTGATCTAGCAAGGAGGAGGGGTGGCAGTGGCCTTGGGAGGCTGACCAAAAATGCGGAAATCTGGAGGATGTGGGTGCTGTACGAAACTAATCTGACACTTGTGGACAGTATCATCTGGACACAGCCCCCCGGGGTTACTTTTGTTGTGTCCACTATGCTTTCCTAACATATATACCCTTGGCCTCTATTCCAGACAGCCCCATAAAGCAAGTAATACTAGCCACAGAGGCACAGCCCCGCCACATCACAACATCACTGCAGGGATTGGGCGGATTAAGGAAACACACCACATGGGGTGTGGGGGGCTAAATACACAGGTGGCTGTGGGCTGCTTTGTTGGGTTATGGAGAGGCTGAGGCTGCAGGGGACTAGGTGGAAAACCGGGCAGGTACTGGTTCAGGGAACGCTAGGCGTATGGCTCCACTTATTAACATGGATCTCCGGGTCCTCACATCCCATGGTAGAAGTGGATAGTTCTCCTGAGCTCCTCGGGGTGCCACTTAGGGACGTTTCGGATCCCGACACACGTCCGAGTTTGCCCACGCTACCCTCTTGTCAACACAAATCGTAGAGGGTGTCCTCATAAGGGTTTTGAAAATCGGGACGTATTACTTATACTGTAATTAAACAAAATACCAAAGCTAGCACAGAATGACTGTACCATATGCCTTTGGTCTCTTTACCACCCTCCACGGCCACAGCAGATACAGAGACTGCCCAAGCTAGAGGGGGTAACAAAAGGAGAGGGGTGTTGGGTTTGGGGTGTGGGGTGAAACAGGAGACAGGGACAGGCAGGGTAGAGGGACCGTACCTCACCAGCTACTGGTAGCATACTTTTGTCCAGTCTACCAAACACATGGCACTAAACGAATTGATGCGGACTTGGATACTTTGGTGACACCCATTCGCATATGGTAGGGTTTGAAACAATTGAAGTTATGATTCTAATATTGATAAAAACTGAGCCTTATGCACACTTTTTAACTGGCCACCACTGGGTCAGGTTATATGCCTTGTTTTGTACGCATTTCTTTAATTCTATTGTATAACCTATATTTTCACCTACTGACTTATTACACCTGTACTAAAACCTGCCATAAAAGTGAGATTGTCAAAAAAAAAAATGCTAGTTCAAAAGCAAAATCAGAAGAATGTGAAATGAAAAGTATTTGTGTGTATATAATGATACTTGCAGAAAATACAGTACTTCTGAAAAGTCACAGCCATTGTGTATAACGTTCGATAGAAGACTGATAACTTAGCATGTATACCTGCTTTATAGCTTGTGAAAGAGACACCTGTCCTCACTGTGCTATAAGTTCTCCCTTCCAAATGTTTGTCTTCTAGGAATGTTGTGTCTGTGTCATCCTTACTGTCATCCGCTACCTGGCTCTGCTTGAGCTATTTTGTTGTACTTTGTAAAACAAAGCAAACTCCATGTATATATATTGTTGGAGAAAAGGGACATTTTAATATGAATGAGAAGCAGGTTTTTTTGTGTGTGTGTGTGTGTGTTTATACTATGTATCTAACTTTCTATATCTTATGTTTATTGTTGTTGTTTTTTTTTTTGTCTGTAACAGGTAATGTGCATTGCTCGTGTGTTATTGCGTTAACAGTCCATTCACAGGAATGTGTGTAGTAACCAAGAGAAATAGATATATTGAGAAAGCCTATGGGTGAAACGCGTTGAGATTCTATAGAAGGACGTTTTATCTTTTTTTTTTTATCTATTTTGTGTGGTATAAAACAATAAATATTGTTTTTACCATCAATATTTATTTTTTATTTTATTTTATCTGTTTTATTGATTTTATTTTATCCTGCATTTATCCTGTTAACCCAAATGAACCTCTTCCAGGTATTGCTAAATTTTCTTCATCTACCTACATATATCCTTGGTGGGGTTAATACCACCCAAGCTGATGTCACTGAGCATAAGGTAATCTTAAAAATGTAAGTAGATTCTATTTAAAATTAGTCTTTATTGTCATTTTAAGCGGAGAGCCCTATATCTGCAGATATGTATCCAGACGTATCCTTGAGTGGGGATTATACCGCACAGAGCCTTTTCTAAGAGCTGATTGTAGGCTCTCTTCTTGTGAGTGTACTTTATCTTTGCATAGCCAATGACATTGTTTAAACTGGATTACACTATTGGTGTCTTTCTTGTGTTTATATTATATGAGATGCTAATAATAGAACTCCTCATCTCTACTAACGATATGTTTACTAGATCATCAAGGAGGATAACAGATTGACCTCCAAAAAAACTCTATTTCCATATAAAGAATATAAAGAATTTTCTATTAAGAACTTGTATTACACCTTTATTTGACTTATTTTGACTACAATTAACCCCTTAACGCCGTTACGGCGTTCTATGCCGTCGCGGCTTTAAAGGGCTTTAAAGCCGTTGCGGCGGCATAGAACGCCGTAATGGCTTAAGCCCAGGGGAGGTGAGATCTACTTACCTCCGCCGCGATTATCTTCGGGAGAGCTGCCTGACAGCCCTGGCAGCCCACCCCTGGCAAATCAGGCCCCCGGGGGCCATGTGATCGCTCTCAAAGAGCAATCACATGGCCCCCTATAGCTGGCTTTGGATCTGCTGGTGGGAAATGTAAAAAAAATAAAAATAAACATGTGTAAAATTAAATTAAAAGTATTTTTATATATATAATATACGTATATATATATATATATTATATATATAATATATATATACATATTATATATATATGTAACGTCATACAAAGTGTATTTTAATACTAATATTAGTATATATTTTAATATTAAAATACACTTAGAATGACATTACATATTTATAATATGTATATATATTATATATATATATAATAGATACATACACATATATTATATATATATACGTATAATTACAATAATAAATAAATAAAATAATAAAATAAATAAATAAAATATTGAAACAAAATTTAATATAAATTATATATTCATATGTAATTTCATTCTAACTGTATTTTATTATTAATATATATATATATTGGTAACAAAATACACTTAGAATGACATTCTATATATATCTATCTATATATAAAATACAAATAACCGCATATATATATATATATATATATATATATATATAGATAAATACATATAATTACATAAAAGATTACATTAGTATACACGTAGAATTTAAATACCTATAAATGCATAGATATTCAAATTCTATGTGTATATTTAAGTAATCTTTTAACATAATTATGTGATTTGATTAATTAAAATTTGATTGACATGCCTGACAACACAGGGAGAAAGTGCAGAGAATTTAATTTGCAAGCACTATATTTGATCCTGTAACTCTCCAAGACACCATAACAAACCTGCACATAGGGGGTACTGTTTTACTCGGGAGACTTCGCTGAACTCAAATATTAGTGTTTAAAATTGTTAA